TGCCTAGTGTGGGGATGGAGGGACATTGGTTTCCATCCCAGCCAATCTGCTGCTGTTTATCCTCCCACCCCCCAAATCAATAGCAGCTTTGGACAGCAGCTAGAGAACTACAACATGCCTGCACATGACACGTGACCAGGTACACACACACCCCGTGTTCAGCTACACAGCCCATGTTCAGAAGGGAGACAAGGGCTGCATGCCTAGTGTGGGGATGGAGGGACATTGGTTTCCATCCCAGCCAATCTGCTGCTGTTTATCCTCCCACCCCCCAAATCAATAGCAGCTTTGGACAGCAGCTAGAGAACTACAACATGCCTGCACATGACACGTGACCAGGTACACACACACCCCGTGTTCAGCTACACAGCCCATGTTCAGAAGGGAGACAAGGGCTGCAGAGACAGAAAAAGGAGGAGCATAAGGGCCACGGCAGAAAGAAGGCAATGAATGGACGGTGTAATGCCGCTGGCTGAGCCACCTTTGCAGGGTGGATGGGGGTAAGCCACCCTGCAAAGCTAGTTGTGACGGTCTCTGAGCTGGATTCTGACATGGCTTGTTGTCTTTCAGGTGGGCTGATGGCAGTGGCGGGTTCCGTTGCGACGTACCCAGTAAGCAGATCTTTCCGTACTCTAAAGAAATCGCCTCTTGGCTCACTTGCCGAGCCCGCGTGAATTGGAGTCTGGCCGCTTCCACGCCTGATCCCCATAGATCAATGGGAGTTAGAAACCCAGCGGCCCAATTCCGTCCCATGACTACGGGGGGAGCGCCCATATTCCTCTCTCCTCCCTGTTTTGTACGTCGTCAACGTACTGCCCTTCCCCTGCCGTGTCTGATCGGGGTCCTGAGTTCGTTGGGGAATCAGACGCAGGGCGAGCGTGGCAGGCTGGCAGCCCACAGCTCTGCAAGGGAATGAGCAAACGTGCCCAGCCGCGGGTGTTTGTTACTTGCACTTCTGCACAGCTTTGACCCTTTCCCATTCACTGCTCCTGCTGCCCCACGGGGAACAGTCTGTCCTGTTTCGGACTGAACAGAGAACTCACTAGAGCTGGCTTGGAGCAAGCGCCCCTACACTTGGAGGGGCTAGCTGAGCCCAACACTAACCGGAGTGTTGCCAGTGGTGCTCTAGTGAGAACGGGCCAAATGAAAACTCTGCATCTGGACTCCGGAGGGGTTTGGAATCCTGGATGCAAATCCGAATGTTGGGTGGCTGGTGCCCGGGGCTGGATGAAGCATCTTGAGATGGTTGAAACTGGATCCCGAAATAACGGTCTCTCTCTCTCTCTCTCTCTCCCCGCTCAGTGCACCAGCGGCCCCGTCGACGGTAAGTTTCTCACCGTAGAAATGCCCATTAATGGGTTGTTGGTTTTTTTCAAATAAGTCCTTTGCCTACTTTTCCTCCATGATCTCCTTTTTCTCCTTTGAGCAGAAGCTGCCGTGTGTGCCCCAGTGCAAAGGTACGTGAGCCAATTCCTTCGGCATGACGCATGTTGGTAAAGGGACATTGCTTTGGATGGCCAGATAATGATACTCGCCCCATTTCTGCAGCACCTTTGCTCGTGGAGGTTGTATTTCCTAGGGCCTCTCCCAGCGTGCAAGGAGGGGAGGTTTACAGAGCAGCCAAGTGGAAGTAATTTGAGAGATTAGGCATAGTCAGGACGAGCCCGAGAAGAAGGGCTTCTCAGAAAGCCAGGACTCATAGAATCGTAGAGCACTAGGACTGGAAGGGACCTTGAGAGGTCATCGAGTCCAGTCCCCTGCCTTCGTGGCAGTCCCCAGCACCATCTAGATCAGGGCTACTCAACTTTGGAAGCCCCAGGGGCCACAATGATACTCACAGCACATGCCGAGGGCCGCAACTTCAGTATGGTTGCATAGACATGCAAATATATATGCAAATATAGGCAACAGCTTCTTTCACACTGATGGGCATGAATACAAAGCATGTCCCACAATGCCCCGGTGCTCCCGGCACCTCCTCCCTGTGGGCTAGAAACACTGACTCCCTGTACCCGTCTGTTCCAGCCAGCCCGTCCGCTTGCGTCTTTCAATGCTCACCCCGCCTGAGAGATACCTCGCCGTTGTGTTCCCACTGGAGGCCACGTTCCAAGGATCCCACCCGTGGGCTGCGTGTTGAACTCCATATAAACCCAAACCGCACCGTGGGCCACAAACAAACGGGCCGTGGGCCACACGTATTGAGTAGCCCTGGTCTAGACCATCCCTGACAGGTGTCTATACAACCTGTTCTTAAATATCACCAGTGATGGAGATTCCACAACCTCCCTAGGCAACTTATTCCAGTGTTTCACCACTGGACAGGTAGGAAGTTTTTCCTAATGTCCAAACTAAACCTCCCTGGCTGCAATTTAAGCCCATGTTCTGCTGTGAAATAGTTACCACTGAAAACAGCTGCTGCATTCAGACCTTGTGAAGACCCAAACTCGGCCCGATGGAAATAATTATTAGACACTGTGCCCAGGACTTGAATAGACCCACTCTTTGTCCAGATTTAATTTGTTTTCTGCAAATGTCTCCATTATTTGTCAGCGTCCACAGAGTAGCTTTGGCAAATCGTTCTTGGGCATTCATGTTCACCATTTCGTATCTCGTATTAGATCTCTGTGTTGTGTGATTGGTCACCAAAGTCACACGGTGCGGTTTCTGTTCCCTGATGGGTGGCCTGAAACTTTTTAAAGCGAGGAATAACAAATCACTAACTGCAGTAGTGAATACCTGAATGGATGAAATGTTACGCTTAAATCTGGAATTCGCTAACGTTTCCCTCAAATTCAGTGGTCATCTGACAGCTCCTGAAACATCCAACCCCTTGGATCATGGGGAGTTGAATGTGGGGTTTTTTTTGCAAAGATATTTGTGGACGTATGTGTGATATATTTTGCTGTTCACCCGGTTCTGCCACTCGGTTGTGAGTCAGGTGAGGCTAACACAAAAATTGAGATAATTCCTTTTGCCCTCCAGCGTCAGCGAAGAGACACTCCTGAAAATCGCCAGGGGCGAAAGTTCTCCCTGCAGTATCGCTTTTGGCCAATATGCATGTGCGGAGGTAAAGCTGCTTCTTCTCTTTCCATGGGCATGTGCTTATTTTCCACTGTAATAAAGCCCGTTAACATCGAAGAAATCCCGTCACCTTTCTCAGCACAGCTGGTTACCCCTGGAGGGACCAACACGTGGGGTGTGTCTACATTCTCAGATTCCCAGTACCTTGCCCGTAAGGTTTCGAGACATGAAAAATGGCCCAACATTCCTTCTGTGTGTGAACTTCTGTGCCCTAGGAGAACCTTAACCAATACACCAATGATTAAAGCACTGTGCTACAGTCAAGAGCCAGCCAGCAAATGAACCCTGCTCTGCTGAAAGGCTGTATAGAACTATCGTAAAATTACATAGTTACCGGTAGATCTTGTGTAAAACCGAGGTTGGAGTCTGAGATTCCATCTGCTTCCAAAATCTTGATCTAGACTGTGAAGGGTGTTCCATGGGCATCCCTCCTTAAGTTAACCAGATCCCAGCTGGCATTTCGACACTGTGTTTGAAGAAAATTGGTGGGCCCTACCATTGCATGACCACCCATCCCAATTCCTTTAGGCAGCATCTTGATTTTGATGGGGCGATACTATTGTTTTCAATCCTAATTTATAAGGCGGCAGGACAGTGAAGGTTTCAGGAACTAATTAGAGCCCAAGAACTGTCGTTTACAATGTAGGGACGAATGTGTTTGTACCATCAGCCAAATCTCCAGAGAAGGAAAACCTCGCTCACCAGAGCCTGCACTTGAGCAGAAAGAGAACTGAGATCTTAGAATACTTACGCAAAGTAGCTCACGTCTGTATTTCAAGGTTGCTATCTCACTAGCAACTTTTCCCAACCATCCCTAGTGCTGTTTTTTTGTTTCCATGAAAAAAAACGAACAAAACCATTTTTGTTGAAATTTTTCTTCAAAGCATGTTTGGCGTTTTGGTTTTTGGATGGTAATGTGAACAATTTAACTAGATTGGGGACGTTTCCTAGGGAAATTTCCATTTTGACAGGAAAAGGTTTTGTTGTTGTTGTTGAAAAAATGTTTACCTGCTCTAAGCTCTCCCCTGATTTTGCGGGAAGTGAAGGTTGGTGTATCTGGAGTCAGACATAGGATTAAATTCAGAGGTGTGGCTAAGTCAAGAAAGAATCTAAATAGGTATAACCTGACACTTTCTTTTGACTCCTCACCATGGGCATGTCTACAATGGGAATTATTTTAAAATAACGCCTCTTATTTCGAAATAAGGTGAGCGTACATATAGCAAGCCCATTGTTTCAAAATTATTTTGAAATAATGGGCTTGTTATTTCAAAATAATAACTCCTGCTTGTGATAAGGAATAATACTTATTTTGAAATAGTTATTTCAGAATAGCATTAGTGGAGACACTCAGTTGCTGTTATTTCGAAATAACGACTCCCCAGAGTCATTCAAAGTACATAACAACGGCTGTAATGGGTCAGACCAATGGTCTATCCAGCCCAGTGTCCTGTCTGCCGACAGTGGCCAATACCAGATGCCCCAGAGGGAGGGAACACAACAAGTAATCCTCACATGATCCCTCTCCTGTCACCCATTTCCAGACAAACAGAGGCTAGGGACACCATTCCTACTCATCCTGGCTAATAGCCATTGATGGACCTAACCTCCATGAATCTATCTAGCTCTTTTTTGAACCCTGTTAAAGTCTTAGCCTTCACCACATCCTCAGGCAAGGAGTTCCACAGGTTGACCGTGCTGAGTGAAGAAAAACTTCCTTTTGTTTGCTTTAAACCTGCTGCCTATTAATTTTATTTGGTGACCCCTAGTTCTTATATTGTGGAAATTAAGGAAAAGTTACTTACTTTTCACTTTTTCCACACTAGCCAAGATTTTATAGACCTGTATCATATCCCCCCTCAGTCTCCTCTTTTCTAAGCTGACAAGTCCCAGTCTTTTGAATCTCTCTTCATATGGGACCCGTTCCAAACCCCTCATCATTTTTGTTGCTTCCCAGTGCTTCGTGGGGCTCTAAGTCAAGGTAGCGCATCCACATTCAGGGAGCCTGCCTCAGACTCATTTCGAGGCGTCCCTGTAATCTGGACACGCTATTTCAAAATAGTTATTTTGGGTTCCCAAACTGGGGTGTGTGAAGAAATTCCAGGAGGGACATGAGGCGACCCAGCTCCCCGCCCCCCTCCCTCCCCCCAATCAATCCCACCTCAAGTTTTGCTGCTATTTTTGTTTTTCAGCCCTGGTCAGTTCCTTGCTTAACAAGTTTTGCTGCTTTTTTTTGGGTGGGGGGCATGAGGGTTTCTCAAAAATCACAAAGGGGGCGTGATGCCGAAAAGTTTGGGAACCACTGGTTTACACTATGTATCATTAATTCCCTTTTCTTTTCCAGAGCGCTTGGCTTCAGGTTTTCAAGGATGATTTCCTTGCGTCCTTGCATTCTTGCCTCAGCTCCATACCCATCAGTCCTATGGATTACACATATTCCATTTTGTTCTTTTCCAAACTCCAAACCAATCTACTTGCAGCTGCCCTGGAGAGTTTCGGTAACCCGGTAGGTACCATATATCTGATGGCTAGTTCCTCCGAAATGTTCACGCCAGGGGATGCTAGGCAAATGAGACACCCATGAGATTTCACAGTCAGTATAGCCGTTCAGCTACTATATTTCGGTCATTGTATTCCCACTTGGAGTAAAGGTAAAGAATGGCACATCTCAGCCAACCTGGGCTTCAGAGCATGCCAGAGGTCTCTACCACCGGCAAAAAATAGTTCCAAGCTACATGACCAAAATTACTAGAAGATATAAAATATGTTATACAGTAGAGTCCTAATTATCCGACCTAAACGGGACCGACACGTGGTTGGATTACCAAATATGTCAGATGATAGGGACTCTACTGTATGTATCCTGGCCCCATCTCTGCCTGGCCCCTTCCCTCCATGCAGCTCCCGGGTGCCCGGCCCTGCTCGCTGCCCCGTCGCTGTCCTGGAGCCACTGATGTCGCTCCTGCTGGCGCCGCTTTGCCCCCGGGAGCTGCGGGGTCAGATAAAGCGGAGTGTTGGATTACCGAAGGATGGATAATCCAGACTCTCCTGTACCCGATGTTGTTATTATTTGCATTGCGGTAATGTCCAGCAGTCCCAGACAGTCCCCATTGTAGTGGGAGAAAACCAGCTGGATTTGTGTTTGTTTGGAAGTTGACGTCCATGTGACTTCATACGTTTTCTGCTTGTTCCTTCCCTGCAGGTCTCTCGCGGGCCTCTTTCACAGGAGTGGAACGTGATTTTCTTCAGTGGCATATGGGAGAAACTGCTGCAATTGCCTGAGGCCACCAGCCCCTCTGTGTTAGCCCAATGGCTCCCCAAGAGACTTCAGCCATTTGTGGTCAACCCAAAGGTCTTCACTTGTCTGCGGACCAAAAACACCTCCTGTGAACGATTTCACAAGCTGTGAGTGGGAGCACGGACCTGGGGAGGCTGCCATATTGTGGGAACAGCCAGCCTACCCTCACTCTATCCCGCAAAACATGAACCACAGCCTCACTTGGTGTGACGTTGAAATGCCACTGGAGAATTAAATTCATTCCATTCGCGTGTCCATCTGAAGAGCCGGCTCAAAGCCTCCTTAATATAGTTGCCATTGTCCTAAACTCTTCCCACAATAGCCAATAGCCTGCAACAGTCTGAAGTGTCTCCCTTTGCCCATAATGGCACACACTTTAATGTATCCAGGTCTCTACAGGGGAGGGGGTCACTTGATGATTCCCTGTTCTGTTCACGCCCTCTAGGGCTCCTGGCATTGGCCAGTGTCAGCTATACGGGCCTTTGGTCTGACCCAGTATGGCCGTTCTTAGGTTCTCTCCTTTAAGGCTGACAGGGGTTAAGGATGGGAGGGACAGATGATTGAAATGCCTTGGAAAAAAGAGTACTGTGAATTAGTGTATATAACCCGTGGGTTATACAAGTTTACAAACCCCGCCCTCCCCTCCTCTCCCCCGGAGTATACAAGTTTATTTTTACTCACCTGTGCTGCGCTTTCCGTTTCCCCCACCCGGAGATGCAGTTTATCCTGATATGTGCAATTACCTTAAAGTAGCGTATATAACCTGCAGGTTATACACGTCCGCGGGTTATCTACAACTTTTTTTTTAAATACACAGTCAGGAAAAACCGCAGGTTATGCACGAGTGTGGGTTATATACGCTAATTGACGGGGGTAATTCTTACCGGGAAGGAATATTACTGCGCCTCTGAATTTTGTTTGGTGTAAGACAGAGATGGTGTGAGCAGGTAACCGCTTGATTTAGAATTGAGCCATGTCTGAAATACAGGGCTCTCTCTTCAGAGCCGCTGTAAGTGAATATTCTCCAGTAGCTCTTAGCTCACACTGTTATACAGCCACCAGTGCCGTCAGCATTTCGGAGGGGAGGGTGATACTGTACTGGATTGAGATCAGGCCTTCTAGACCAGCAGTTTTCAGACTATGGGTCATCACCCAGTATGGGCCGTGGAATGTCGGGTGCTGGGTCTTGGTGCTGGAGGGGGCTCAGGTGACCAGTGAGGGGGGCTAAGGCAGCTCCCTGCCTGGCCTGGCACCACAGACTGCGCTGCACCCTAGAAGCCACCGGCAACAGGCCCAGCTCCAGGTGGGGGCAGAGAGAGAAAGCACACAGAGCCTCTTCACACTGGCGAATGTAGCTCCTCCGCGTACTGCCATTGACAGACAAGGTGATGTGACAGACACACACGCGGTGCGTGCAACCTGCAGCCGTCACCGGTGCATTTTCAAAAGGGTGCCAGTGGCATTAGCAGCATGATCGCCACGGGGTTGAATGGGAGTAGTCGTGCAAGCCAGTCCCATCATATGACTTGGAAAACGGACCAACAGGCATTAGCTCAGAACCTCCTCTAGACCCTGCTCAATGAGTAGCGTGATGCCGAGTACCGCCGGCAGGTGACCTGTTTCTGAAAAGGAGGGAGCCCTTCCGGGTCTGCCTGAGTCTGAAATCTCTGCTTTTGCTTCCAGAGTTGCTTCCCTGAATGGCATCTATCCCAACCTCACAGCGGAAGACCAGAAGAATATTTACAAAGGGCTCAAATATTATCTCAAAGGGGATGGTAAGTGACTTCCCTCCACATGATGTGACAGACCCAGGGTGGCTGGCTACTATAGTCTGGTGAAGGGCAGACATGCCGGGAGCTGGGCGAATGGTTTCCAGTTTCCTGACTGCACTTGCCAGAGACTGTGGCCCAAGGCTGGCAGAAGCCTGAGGTTAGTTAAGAGTTTGCCTGAGGCAGCAGGCTAATCAGCCACCAGCAGCCAATTAAGGCGACTTCAGAAGGTTTTTCCTCAGGTAAAGAAGAGGGAAGGAGAAGAGGGACAGACTGAGAGGAGGAAGTATGTGGCAGAGAGCTGAGGAAGGAAAGATTCGCTCCGGTGCCAGGGAGAAGGTTCTAGGAGTGTTTGTGGAAGTAAAGGCTGTTGAACTGAGGCGAGAGGAAAACCCTGACCTACAGGGCACGGCCGGAGCCTTGTCCTAATTAGAAAGTGGAACAGTCTTGAAAACAATCAGATATAAGATTAGACACAGTCTCTCTCGTGGCTGAGGTGCCGTAGATGTGCAATGTGCCAATATACTCATGAGAGGGGGCGCGTCACATGATAATGGACCACCAAGAATAGGTTCCTTGCCTGGACGGGGTGATAACACGGGGCTCTCTCATACAATGAGCACAATGATTTACATTCTGGCCAACCAAACGCCTAGCTGAAGCCAGTCCAGAATTTGGTCCACGAACCACTTCTGTTAACTCAGCTGGGGGAAGGGAGCCAATTAAGATGCAAATGTGTGTCACATATTTCGTCTAGCAGAAGGTGCAGCATACACACAAACTTGAATGCACGCAAAGAGACGGTGGAGCATCTACAAAATGGCAGTGAGACAGCGGTGGTCAAATGTACCCAAGGCCCTGTCACGGGGTAGACTCACCACCATAGCGCCTCCAGCGGGCAGTCCTGGGAATTAGCTTGTTTGGCTGGCTAGACGCCTCCCTCTGGCTGGTGCCGCCTCGTGTTTCTCTTTGTCCGCAGCATCCTCTTCAAGACACGGCCCTCTGACAGGGCCCATGCCAGTGTCTGAGCCCCCCTTCTGGGGGTTGATGTTTGCCCTGCTTGCACTCCAGGGTCCTATCCCTCCCAGGGGTACCCTGCTCTCCTCCCAGGGAACACCCAGGTCCCCTGGCCCCACCGTGCCTCAGTGACCCATGGCCAGTCTTCATCTAGCCCCTGCCTCAGGGGCAAACTGCCGTCTGACATGGCCACTCATCATGGGCAAAGGGGTGTGGACCTGCTGCCCCGTCTACCACAGCTGCCTGTCTACAGCCTGGGAGCTTGCTTGGCCAGAGCCTCCCCAGCTCTGCCATCCTTCCCCAGCTCTGCTCTGCCTTCAGAAAGTCTCCTGCTTCCCTGGCAGTCAGGTCCCTCCTGCTCTCTGTCCAGAGCAGCCGTCAGTTCTCCCTCTCCCCCCAGGAGCCCTTCTTTATATAGTCCCCAGCTGGGCCCTCATTGGCAGAGCTACCTCAGCTGGGGCTTCGCTCTCAGCCCTCACTCAAGGCCTGGGTTTTGCCCTTAAAGGGCCAGTGCAGGGCAAATGCCCTGTCACAGGCCCTCAGAGAACTAGCCGGATATGCAGATAGGGTTGCCAGATGGTTGAAACAAAAATAGCGAACAACCCTCCCCCCCAAAAAAGGGAAAAAATCTGTTGGCAGGGGAAAGGGGGGGGGAGAGACCAAAGTTGTTGAGCAACAAAACAAAACAAAAAAAGACTCCAAGGACTTATTAAGCCAAAAAAAAAAAATTAAAATAAAACAGCATATCCCTTTTAAGAGTGAGTATAGGGATAGAAAACGGGAACGGTTGCGGGGCGGTCCTTAGGTCGGCAGCCATTTTGTGCCGGCAGCCTTGGGGAACCAGGTAAGCATGGGGGCTGGGATCGGGGGGCTGGGAGTGTTGGGCGAGGCCAGGCACTGAGTGTTTGTAGGGTTGCCAAGTGCCTGGCATTTTTGCCTCCTGGCTGGGGAAAAATTCAGAAAACCATAGAATCATAGAATACTAGGACTGGAAGGGACCTCGAGAGGTCATCGAGTCCAGTCCCCTGCCCTCATTCAGAGAACACCAGACATCTCAGGTGTCCGGTATTCTCTGAATTTTTTTACTGGACAGGAGGTGAAAATACCGGACTGCCCGGGTGAATACCGGACACCTGGCAACCGTATATGCAGAGTCCTGTGTGGACACAAAATTGGTGTCTGCATCTGCAAAAATGAGGGCAAATCTGTGCCTATAAAGTGGATAGCCACAAATTTGCAGGGTTCTAGATCCAAAATTTGTGTCCATATCTGCCACCGTATCCACAAAAATGAGCTGCAGACATCCGTGGATCACAGGGCTCTACAGAGATGCACATGCGCATTTTCTGTTCCATGTGCAGCTACTTGCTGAATGCACAAATGTGGGGTTGTCTGTACTTGAGAGTTTGAATGGGGGAAATATATGGTAACCTATCACTTCGGGATCTGAGGAACACAGATACCCTGATGATGAGTGGCTAGAAAATGTTTTGAGACAAAACAAACCTTTCTCTTCTGCAAAGTTAAGAAACAGGAAGCAAATGAAGAGCTGAACTATCTGGTTCGTGTTTAATTGTTTGTTAATGTGAAACAGCCCATCATGTGTGGTTGCATTCAGGATTGTGCAAAACCAGCACAAATGCATGCCTCTACAAGTGGAGAACTCAAGATTATGCATGAATACAAACACAAACCCTTGGGGAAGTCTTCGGTGGACGATTTCAGACTGCATGTTGAAGCCTTGGTTTTACAAGGGGGTTGTCCATATTTTGCAGGATCAAAACCGAATTGCTACAATGCCCCTCTTCCAAGCCAGAGCACCACTGCTTGGTTTGCGAATTACCTGGGTTCCTATCTGGAGCATGCAATAGTGGGAGACCTCCAGCTCTTTGCTGATAAGCGAACTGTAAGTACACGCTCAGCATGGTGGAGGAGAACATGCAGTGTGCAAAACATTAGCTGTGCAAATGAGTCTGGGGCAAGATGAAAGCAGCCGGCCTCATGGTAACCTGCTAAATCTCTTCCTCTCCTGACTGACGCCAGGAAGATGCAAACATTTTTTTAACGTTTTTTTTTCTTGACCCTCTGAAATGTTTTACTTCATTTGCTATATACAGCAAAGGGTCTGTGGGGGTCTTCTTTACACCCAACTCATTTTGTCCATCTCTCGTTATAACAGAGTCACGTTTCTGTTCTTGCACTGAAATTGGCTTCCTGGTAAATCCTAGAAACCAAATTGGAGTCAGCAGCATCAGCAGATTTTAAGGCGAGGCTGGATGGCTTTCTAGAAGAGATGTTACAGCTCAGACAAAGGCTGTGGGTTTCCTGCAGAAATCATTTGATGACTTTTTTGACTTGTGTTATTCAGGTGGTCAGGTCAGATCATAGAATACTAGAACACTAGAACTGGAAGGGCCCTTGAGAGGGCATCAAGTCTGGTCCCCTCCCCTCGCGGCAGGGCCAAGCACTGTCTAGATCAGTGGTCCCCAATGCGGTGCTCGTGGGTGCCATGGAGACCGTCGAGGCATTTATGTGCACCCGCCGAATGATCTGGGCTGGTCCCGCCCGCAGCGCATGGGCAGCTCCACCCGTAGATGCCCGGCACATGGGCAGCCCTGCCCGTGGGCGCCCAGCGTGTGAGCGGCCCTGCCACCGGACACCCGGCAACCCCTAAAGGTTGGGGACCATTGATCTAAGTCATCCCTGACAGGTGTCTGTCCAACATGCTCTTAAATATCTCCAGAGATGGAGATTCCACAAGCTTCCTAGGCAACTTATTCCAGTGTTTAACCACCCTCACAGTTAGGGTACGTCTAAACTACGATTTTTTTTTCGAAAGAGGATATGTCAATTCTGTGGGCATTTGCATATCTTCTGCCGATCGCTTTTTCGAAAGTGGGTCTTTCGAAAGTGAAAGTAGTCTGGGTGCGTTTTTTGGTGGGTGGGGGAAACCCTTTTTTGAAAAACTGCTCTTCCTTAAAAAATGAGGTTTACGTGGTTTTTTGAAAAAGGTTTTTTTTCCCCTCGAAAAAAACCCCGCATCCAGACTACTTTCACTTCCCAAAGACCCGCTTTTGAAAGTGAGATCGGAACACCGAATCTGCATATCCTGTTTTGAAAAAAAACCCCGTAGTTTAGACATACCTTTAGGAAGTTTTTCCTAATGTCCAACCTAAATCATCACGGACCTTTTTTGTATTCAAACATATTATTTGATTCATCATATAGTTGAATAGATGATCACCTGCAGAGAATTTGACACTAATCATACCACACCCAGGTCATAAAAAAAAAAGCAAAAACAAATTTTTAACGTTTCAGAGGCCTGATTTCCAAAGATGCTGAGGATTCATTGTTTCCATGAAGGCACCCCAGGGACAAGCACAATCCGGCGAATGACTCTCATGATGTTTGGTGCTTTTCTTGAAGTCTCAGCTCCTAGAGTCCTGCAATTACATAAGAAATTCGGCTTTTACTTAAAATACATTTTTAAGAAAGAGGCCTTAAAATGTGACCCCACTGGACCTGAGGGGATGAGAACACAGAGGCCAAATTAAACAAGTCCCACATTTATTTATTTTAAATATCACAATTTTTAAGCTGCGCTCCTGATTTTTGAGGCATGATGTTTGAACACTTAAGGAAGGCAATACAAAACTAGAGCCCAATACTTACAACCGTCCCTCATTCCCTCTATGGTATTCACCACTCATCAGAGCCCAAAGCCAAGATATGGCAGGATCACATGTGTGCGGCTGATGACAGCAGCGTCAGATTTTCCGATGATCATTTTTTCACACCCAAACAAATGTTCTGTTAGTTTAGCTCCGACTAGTGACCTACTGGAATCTCCTCATTCAGATTCTCCTCTGACTTTTTTTGACTGCCATGTAGGACTATGAGGGATATGCAGGGCTAGCGTCAGACTTTGCTGGGCCCTGGGCAATTGGGGGAGGAGGGGGGTTAGCTCTAGGACCCTGGAAGAGGTGGGGCCTGAGGTAGAAGGGGCAGGGCCTGTGGTGGAAGGGGTGGGGCTAAGGATAGCCACACCCACTACCAGCCAGTCCTCAGCATCACCTGAGACTCCGGGCCCTTTTAAACTACCAGACTCAGGGGCAATTACCCACCTCTTTCAGCAGCCCCGGGAGTATGATTAAAATGTCCGTTCAAACCTGTTCTACTTTTGCATGTCATCCTTTTTAGCTTCAGACATTTGCCCGAGATCCAGTCAACTTACAGCTGGTCAGTAACCTCAGTTTACCCAGGGAGACGGCTGTGTACTACACCTCATTGCTTACCTCTGCACCCAGCTTCCAGCTGGCAAGGTAAGAGCACACTTGTGGCGTATCTTGGGGTCCTTCTATAGCGACATCTTTGCTGGCTACTGATTTTGAGTGGCTAACGTTGACCTCTTTGTGGGTCAGAGAGAGTCCTCAGGGAATGATGGGAAATCTGCTTTCCAGTGCAGTGCCCTCTCCCGACTAAAAACCAGAAGCACACTGGGTTATTCTGGGAAATCGGTGTTAGGCTACCACACTTCACAGGGCCTGGGGGAATGTAAAAGCCAATAGGGATTGTGGAAAAAATCAGCACATGGAACCCTCCGCACAATCACAAAAGAAACACAATTTTGGCCTTTGATTGATGGCGGGAACAGGCCTTCCTTTCTGACATTGGTCTCTTGTCCTCCTTTCCCCACTTCCAGCCTCCCCGACAGGTTGGTTTGCTACCTCAGCCCCTCTGCAGTGAGTGGCCTTGACAGACAGGACGCTTTACGTTTGGCTCAGAGGATCACTAAAAACTGTGTGTCGAGTTGGATTCGCATAGGCACCCGCGAGGAGGGGCCGGCCCCATCTCTGACAACTGAGGAGCGACAGGTAATGCCCTGGGCTAATGGCCTGGTGTGAGCCTCTTCCCCACAGCTCATGAAAGGACAGTGCTCCCGACAGAAGCAAACACATTTCCATGGCCCTGAGCTCAAACCCGCGCTATGGTAATACTATTTAGTTCCACCACCCGTGTTCCCTGTAAGCTGAGTGCTTGGCCCAGGAGCGCGTCAAATGCCACTCAACTGACTAGCAGAGTGCACACAACCCATGTGTTTCTACTGGTGGTGCACATCCACCCATGCCTCAGTGCATGCGATAAAATTTATTCCACACATGGATGGAAACAAAATTAGAGGGAATTTTGACTACAGGTAACATTTCCTGAGGCAGGAAGTATTATTCTCTCCATTATTCTGTGAAGAAAATGGAGGCATTAAATGACTTGTCCAATCAATGATTGAGCCAAAAGTCTGAAAGCTGCTCGGATCTTGCCGTGTTGTCCACTCAATGAGAGCCCTAGATAAACAGAGAGCAGGGATTAGACCTTCTTGCCTGGCCCCAACACTAGCGGCTCTCAACCTTTTCAGGGGATGGAAACGCGAAATAATTTGCACTCCCACCCCTGCAAGTCCCATGGCAGCAAGAGAGTGATGTCCCCAGTGATCCCCAAAGCCACATGCTCAGGGGACGGGGTGCCATAGGGGAAGAGGGCAGAGTGAAGGCAGGAAGGGGAGGGGCTCGGAGGCCAATAACAGACAGCACCCCTCAGCCGACGGGCCAGATTGTAAATCGCTCCGGCCAGGACTGACCCGTGTGCTGGGAGTTTGAGACCCTGGATTAAGACTTCAAAAGACAAGCGCACCGAAAAGACCCTTCCTCTGGGTGCGCCTACACAGCACCGTACACTCGAAGTAAGAGACGCAACTTGTGCTACACAAATTGCATCTCTTCTTTTGATTGAATTTCGAAATGGGCTATTTCGAAATTTGGCACGTGCACACAGTGCCAAATTTCAAAATAACATGCTATGTCAAGACATCTCTTAACCCTAGGGGAAAGAGGGATGCTGGGATGCCGAAATAGCGCGCCCGTTATTTTGAAAACTATTTCGAAATCACGGGTGGCTTGTTAAGACACTGGGTAGCTATTTGGGGATACCTCCCGTCTCCCGAAATAGCCGTGCCGTGTAGACACACCCTCAAGAAGCTGGCTCATTGGCTCTGATATTCTGAACTGCTCCTCCGTCACTGGGGGCTCTTTCTAGGTTGCGTCCTTGTTGGTGAACAAATTCGACCGCTTCCCTCCCGACACCCTGAATGCCCTGGGGCAGGCTGCCGTCGGGCTGTCCCTGTCGCAGCTCGAGAATGGCGTCAGCAACGGAGACCTCCACGCGTCGCTTCCGTCCCTGAGCCGCGTTCACGGCTGGGACGCTGAACAAGCCCGCACTCTCGTTAGCAAACTGCTCGGCTCTGGCTACCAGGTACGAAGAGCACAGGTCTCCATTCTGTCCGCATTGGAGGGCTAGTCCCGCATGGCCAACCCTTTGCCCGTGGCTTTATGCTTGCGCCGCAGATCTCGGACGGCCGGAGCCTGGCAGCGCTGGGGAGTCTGGTGGCCGGCGTCAGCAGCAGCAGCCTTCAGAGTCTGCCTCCGGATGCCATCTTGGAAGCGGTTCGGATCCCTGGGTTCGTGGCGCAGCTCGAGGCCGCGCCCGCTGCCCTGAAAATGGCCCTGGTGGAAAAGGTGAGGTCCTTTCTCTTAGCCAGGCGGCGTCCTGAGCAGAGCCTGAGGCGGACGGTGACTCTTCCTGGTTGAGAGCACCATGTGTTGCCAGCAGGCGTGAGCAGACCTGCAGAGGCTTATGTATGTGCTTGCTAACAGGGCCGTGCTGCTGGCGCCTTGGTGCGTTTCTTCCCTGGGAGGAACTTGGCTGCCAGCCAGGCGAGCATGACTTGCTTGGATGGGTCATGTACTCATGGGCGGTGGGTGAACCTAGAGCTGGGGGAGGCAACCCCTCAGCCCCGCCTCTTCCACTTGAGGCCCCGCCCCCTTCAAGAGCCAAGCCCCTCCCCACAGGGGCACCTCCCTAACCCTGGAGTGCAGGGAGGGTGGGCGGCACACGGCCCCCGCCTCAACGTGGCTGAAGCCTGGGGAGAGCCCGGGAGCCACGCTGAAGCAGGGGGTGGAGTGTGGACGGGGCCACAGGTGGTGCTTTGAGAAGGCAATGCCTTCTCCTGCCTCTTACACCCACCGCCCATGCTCATACCAGACATAGGCCACTGCTACATAGTAAGAGCTGAACTCGCCGGGTCCATGGAGAATTCCACGCCCAGCGAAAGAGAATGAGATGGATGGAAGCTTTGGGGCTTATAGCTTGTGAGCAGTCCTGAGGGGCATTCGGCAACTCCCTCCCCCCCTCCTCCGGGTGGAGCGACAGGCCAGTGAGCTTCTTCTCTAGGCACCAACTCACGGATGTGCCTTTACGTGCAATTGCAGGGAATTAGCCCATCTGCCAAGCCTTTCGGCCGGCCACGATTTTACTTCTTACGCTCACATGAGACCTATTCAAGAAAGAGACCACTGTTAATTCCCCGTCCCTCTTTGCGCTCACAGGCTGGCAGGAGAAGCTCTGACCGTCGATTGGCATTCAGACTCAACGGTTGGGCTTCTGAACCACTATGGGCTTACCTCCACTTACCAGGAGATCCATTCTCTGGAAATCAATCTCCTGGGGTTCAATTTAGAGGGTCTAGTAAAGACCTGCTAAATAGATCACAGATCATAAGAACATAAGAATGGCCCTACGGGGTCAGCCCAAAGGCCAGTGGCCAATGCCAGATGCCCCAGAGGGAGTGAACACCAAATGCTGGAATGCTACCAAGTCACACTTGTAGCTACATCGTTGTTTGTGCTGTTCTCGCTTGCCAGCGCTGAGTGTGAAGAGTAGGAAATGGACATTTCCTTGCTCACAAGAAAGCCCATGCACCAGGGCAGGCTGAGATCTTCTCTATGTTCACAGAGAGTGAAGAGATAGATTCCCCCTCCAATTTCTAGCGTGCTAACCAAAGCTAAGGCATAAAGCCAGGAATGGCAAGGAACTCTTCTTCGCTTGTCAGTCTGGGTCCCGCAGCTCATCATCAAAACAGATCAACTCATCACCATAGGCCACTGGTCTTTGGCAGGCCTTTCAGAGTCACCTGTCCCACAACATCAGGGCATAGCAGCACTCCCAGTCGGCGAGATACACCAAGCAGGGAACATTCCTTGGCATATGTTCTCTGGCAAACACCCACGTACCAGAGGGACATCTTCCTGGCTTCTCTCCAACCTGTCCTTCCCTCTCCAATGATTGCTATTTTTAACCTCCGCCTGGGGTTTATTACATTTTTTTCAGATTGCTTCAGCAGCCGGGAGCCCCGTCAGCCTGGTGAAACACATCCCAAACAGTCTGGCTATTTACATTCCAAAATCACGGCTGGCCTTTGGGGACGAAAAGCCCGATGTTCAAGAGCTCAACCAGAAGTTGTGGAGCAGGGAACAAGTAAGCCACCCTGTCATTGCCTTTGCCGGCCGTTGGGGGCTGGGTAGTGGTTAAACTGTGCCGCTAGGAGCTGTCTAAGAACACAGCCGAATGTCGCTAAGTGGGGGGAGGAGCTTGGTGTTGCGCTAACGTTCTCTTTGGCTTGGTTCCACTGCGGGGGAAGAGTTTGGTGTCACACTAATGTTCTCTTTCACTTGGTTCTGCAGGCTGCCATGTTTTTCAACGATGTGCTAAAGGTGGAGTCTAACTTCAGCAGGTAGCGTTTCTTTTTTGCTTTTTCTTGTGTGCCGAGTGTAACGCCGAGAGGCGGAACCGAACAAGGGACCTCTGGAGCGGAGGCTCTACCGCCTGAGCTAAAAGCCAGCTGGCTCTCAGCTAACGCTGTAGAGGAGACTCCTACTTGCTCTCTCTGTCAGTGATCTCAGTGCCCCTAGGTGAGCCAATGCACCACACCCAGAAGGTGTGTAGGTTACATGACCCATTGTCCCAATTCATAGGTGCTCCTCAAATTCATCCACAGTATGAGGAAAAGAAAGGCCTTGAAAGCCTGACAGACGGGGTTCTGCTCCCAGTAGGCAGAAGTTCCTGCCCCAGGCCCATTGCCTCTCAAGGGCCTTTGGCTGGCTGTAGAAAACACCCTGGAGTGAGAAATGTCACCTAAGTGCCCGGTTTTAGTCCAATGACTACAAGATTACAGGGACCATCTCTCTCTTGCATAGGGTTGCCAGATGGTTTAACCAAAAATACCAAACATCCCCCTACCCTGAAAAACCCCACGGTTGAGCAAAAAAAAGAAAAAAAAAGACCCCCACAGTTATTAAGCAAAAAATACAAAAATACAAAAAACCACCATAGCCCCTTTAAGGCCTTTGGGGTTTCTTTTTGCCAGCGGCCATCTTATTTTCTTACTCTGTGCGGAAAGAGAGCTCCCCTGTGGAACCATGCAAATCCAGGAGGGGCCCGGGAGCTGGGCCCAGTTGCTGAGTGTGTCGTAGGGTTGCCAGGTGTCGGATATTTTCACTTCCTGGCAGGGAAAAAAAATCAGAAAATACTGGACATTTTAGGTGTCTGTTATTTTCTGATTTTTTTTCCCTCCCAGGAGGTGAAAATACCAGACTGTCCGAGTCAATACTGGACACCTGGCAACCCTACTCCCGTGGCTGTGTGTCAGGGCAACTATAAAATCAGTATCAAGCTCATGCTGATTTATTTATATGTGCTTTTTTATATGGAAAGACATTCCCTTGGTAAGGGCTGCAGCCCAGTCTGGGAGAACTAATGTGGAGATATCTGTGGGGTAGGGTTGCCAGGTGTCTGGTAATGACCCAGACAGTCTGGTATTTTCGCCTCCTGTCCAGTAAAAAAATTTCAGAAAATACCAGACACTTAAAATGTCGGGTACTTTTTGGGTTTTTTTCCTGCCAGGAGGCAAAAATACTGGACACCTGGCAACCCTAAGACACACTCAGCAACTGGGCCTGGCCCCTAGTCCCCTCTGTCCCCCTGCTCCCGGACCTTCTGGTTACCTGGGGGGGGACTTGATCAAGAAAACAAGATGGCCATCGGCAAAAAGATCGAAGCAAGGGGAAGCAAGGGGAAGCAATGCCTTCTCTGGGTCTTAGTGCTCAACCTCTCCCCCTCGCACTTAAAGTGGCCATGCTGTTTTAATACTGGTTTATTGTATTTAGTTTAGTTTTTATTTTTATTGTTATTTTTATTTTTTTTGGTTAATAACTTTCAGGGTCCTTTTTTTGTTTGTTTTGCTCAACAACTTTGTTCTTCCCACTTTTTTCCCCCCTGGTGGTTTTTTTTTGGGGGGGGGGGTATTTTTGGTCAAACCATCTGGCAACCCTACTAGTGTGTTGTGAGCAAGACACGAGAAGTCATTCCACTGCTCTACTGTGCTCTGAGTAGGCCTCAATTGGAGTATTGTGTCCAGTTTTGGGCATCATGTTTCAAGAAAGATGTGGAGAAATTGGAGAAGGCCCAGAGAAGAGCAACAAGAATGATTAAAGGTCTAGAGAACATGAGCTATGAGGGAAGAGTGAAAGAACTGGGCTTGTTTAGTTTGGAAAAGAGAAGATTGGGGGGGACATGAGAGCGGTTTTCAGGTATCTAAAAAAGTGTCACAAGGAGGAGGGAGAAAAAATGTTCTTGGCCTCTGAGGATAGAACAAGAAGCAAGGGGCTTAAACTGCGGCAAGGGAGGTTTAGGTTGGACATTAGGAAAAACTTCCGACCTGTCAGGGTGGTGAAACACTGGAATAAATTGCCCAGGGAGGTTGTGGAAACCCCATCTCTGGAGATATTTAAGAGCAGGTTAGATAAATGTCTATCAGGGATGGTCTAGACAGTGCTGGGTCCTGCCATGAGGGCAGGGGACTGGACTCGATGACCTCTCAAGGGCCCTTCCAGTCCTAGTGTTCTATCTCCCACACGGGCATCTTCTCTTGGGACTATTGCTGTTGCTCAGAGTCTGCCTCTTTGCGTCCCTGGATCATGCTTCTCTGGCTGGCCCCCGCCTTCTGCTCTGCAGCAGGGAAAGGGCAATAGGGCGCTTTGGCTAGAACTATCCTTCCTCCTCTGAAGTTATTCGGGGGACCTCGCGTGTGGGGGAGCTCAGGGCTTGGAGGAGCGCTGGGAGGGGATGCGCCTGCTGCTGTGTGCGTGTTCATTCTAGGAGGTCAGCAGCGGCCGTGAAGTCCTCCTGCACTGCACCCAACTCGCTTCCTTTGAACTTTCAGACTATCCCCATCTGTGCTCCAAGGCTTCACCTGCGCGGCCGCCAATGAGATGGAAACGGAGCGATTTCAGCAGCTTGCTCAAGCCATGAAGCAGAAGAACGTCAAGCTAGGCGAAGACCAGGTCAGTCCCCACGACCACGGGATGCCACGTTGCGCTATTCTCATGAAGAGGCTGAACACATCGATCAAGAACCCAAAACCCCATGCACTGGGAGAGAGTGTAGCCTTGCTCAGGACCACAGGTGACTCTGAATCACTGCCATGACTTTGGCAAGGACCAGTGTTCCCTGTAAGTTGCACTCATAGGTGGCCACCCGAGATTCAAGTGGCACCCAGCTGATTAGCAGAGCACCCACAGGCAGCAGCATATATTTCTACGGGTGGTGCACATCTGCACATACCTTGGTGCACAGAACAAAATTTATTCTGCACATACATGGAAAAAATTAGAGGGAATATTGGCAAGGACCAGGTCAAAGCCTGGCTAACAAGGTTTTTCAAGAATCTAAACCTCTTCCAACCCAATACTACTCTCTCTAGGGTTTTTTTCCCCAAGAAAAGAGATTTGTTGTTTTTTTCCTCTTTCATGTGGACTCTGGTCTATTTTCAGCTAAGTTGTTTGGTTAAGAGAGTGACCCTCAACGGCATTCCCAAGGATTTGGATGACTATCCTAAAGACATGCTGCTCTTTTTAAGGTAACTTCAGAGAGCCTTTTATCTTGCAGCCTTATTTTAGCTGTGTAAATAAGGAAGAGCGCCATTGAATTCCATACGCTACCGATCAATGCATAGGTCTGTATCCATTTATAGTGCATGCCTTCTCATTGTATGTGGGCCACGTCAACCAAGTAGAGTGAAATGCAAAAAGAAAACAAGCTGAGAAATATGAAAACCGAATTAGACGTAAAACTTTTTAGTTGTAACGATCTAGGGGGTATTACTAAGAAAGGTACGGATTGCTTTGCAAAAGGTATTTTTGTCTTGCTAGGCAAAAGGTCTTTTTTGTCTAGAGAGCCGTTTGGTTTTTATTACTTTCCAGCTTTGTGAATATTTTCACATACAACCCCTAGTGAGCCAGAAAAGCTAAACGTCACAGCAGAATTTCTCGACTCGGCTGTTATCCTTTTGGCTTCTGTATTCAGAGCGTCAGACATGAACAAAGCCAGGCTGGGTTTCAAAGTAAATTTCCCAGCGAGAAAAATAATTGAAAAGAGACACACATTTGAGGACAAAGTGTTTGAGATATGACACAGACTATAGAACATGGGACACAGGACAGGGGGTCGGCTTTAGTGGATGTAACCCTAACTTATGTCTCTCTTCTCCCTCTGATTGGGTCAAGTTTCAGGAGAGGTATGGAAAAATTGGAGAGGGTCCAGAGAAGAGCAACAAAAATTATTTATGTTCTAGAGAACAAGACTTATGAGAGAAGGCTGAAACAATTGGGTTTGTTTAGTCTGGAAAAGAGAAGGCTGAGAGGGGACAGGATAGCAGCTTTCAAGTACCTAAAAGGGGGTTACAAGGAGGAGGGAGAAAAATTGTTCTCCTTGACCTCTGAGGACAGGACAAGAAGCAATGGGCTTAAATTGCAGCACGGGAGGATTAGGTTGGACATTAGGAAAAACTTCCCACCTGGAATAAGTTGCCTAGGGAGGTTGTGGAATCTCCATCAGTGGAGATATTTAAGAGCAGGTTAGACAGACACCTGTCAGGGATGATCAAGGCGGTGCTTGGTCCTGCCAGGAGGGCCAGGGACCAGACTTGATGACCTCTCGAGGTCCCTTCCAGTCCTAGTGTTCTACGATTCTATGTTTTGCTCAGTAAAATCCTCTGTGATTTCATGGCGTGTTTGCTTTTCCAGTCCTTCGGATTACGCAGGGACAGGAAGCTGTCAACAGTACGTCAGGAACGTTGGGGAAGCAAACATTGACCTTCTACAGAGAGATTCCCCACAGCGGAAACAGCTGCTATCGGACGCCTTAGCTTGTTTGGTACGCATTCAGTAAGGAGCCAGGGTCCCCGGAACTGGACGGTGGGCTGAGAACAAGGACTGTGCATCTGCAAACCGGGAAAAGGGGCAGAGTTTAAATTCTTACACTTTAATGGGAATGAATGTTGCAAATCAATGGAACCCAGACTCTGTATTGTAGGCTGCATAGCCTTTCTCTACATCCCCACCTCCAAGGCTGTTGGATCATAGAAATTTGCCCAGCCACCGTGCAGCTGCTGAGGGCACTGTACATTTCTCCTGTACCAAACCCGTGAGCTGTATGAGATTCAGGACATAACTGTAATGAGGCTTGTGTGAAAATGTCGCCTCTTGGTGGGATGGACTCAGAACGGTTCACCTGTGTGGCATAAGCCCTATACTGCTAGGAGCTAGTTGGCGGTGTCCTTTAGCTCTAGTGTCACAGACTTATGGATTTGAGCAGGGAGATCTGAGCTCTGAACCAAGGAGGGCTGAGTTCTTAGCAGTCACAGACTGTAGCAAAGTGACACCGGGGGGATTGTGGCCATAGATTTGGGATAATGCCATAGGAAGGACGTTCTCTGCCTTTGAAAATGTGAATCTCAGATGTTTTGAGAATGTAGAAGCAGGAAACATCCCTAGGAGACATCCTGGATCCAGCCCATTCCTCCATCTTGTCCAGTATCTTACCCCAGTTCAGTACCAGAGGAAGGGTTTAGGGTCAGCAGCAGGAGGGAAGAAAGAGGAAAGGTCCTTCCAGAGAGCAATCCACAAAAAGGCAGGATTGTTACCTCGACAAAACTGCCCTATCCCCTAATGCACCCAGCCCCGTGTGCAGAGCTGAACAGGAGAGGGAAGATTCCTTCCTGACCCCTGAAGAACTGAGCCGGGAAGCATGAGGGTTGATTTCCCATCTTGGATCCTTAGTGTGCACAGCAGGAAACTTTGCAGAAAGGATAGAGAGGCTCAAGCTACATCTCGCCAGGAATTTGGGGGAAGCACCAATCCAATCCACACATCCCAAGCCTGGCCTCTTTACCGAGGGCTTGTGGGTGGAATTCAAGCCACAATCCAATCTCTCCCCCTCTCCCCCTGGAATAAGAAGTGTCAGCTGCTCTGTGAATTCTCCAGAGTTACTGTTCTCCCCTTTTGACCGAACACATCTATTGTATTAAACTAGAACATTCCTGACACTGGCGTGAGTGAAGAACATGCAGAGGTTCTGGGTCACCTGGTTTGTGACCTTGGTGAAGAATACATCAGAAGTTCCGGTGGGAGTTTGCTGCTGCAGTTAAATCAGTGTCAGTCCTTCACACCCGGTCAAGAAGAGGCTATTAGAGATGTCATCAGAAATGGAAGCACTCCGTTTGGGTAGGATTGCCATTGGATTTGCTCCCTTTGCACATCGGCTCAGATGACGTTTTCTTGCCTGTTTCTAGGTGGATCAGAAATGTAGTGTGAACGGCCATTTCTCTTTACAATCTCAGCCCATCAGATCCTGCCCAACACCTGGAAAGGCAGGTGCAAGAGGGACTCGGGATGGGGAGAAAAAAGGCCAGGTCTACATTAGTCTTGGCAGCTCTGCTTAAGATGGGCAACTCCAGCTGTGTAGAGTACATAGCTGGAGTTGGCTTACCTAAAGCCCAGTTTGGTGGTGTAGCCACAGAAGGAGGCTGATGGGAGCAAACACACCTGTCGGCTTCCCTTACTCCTGGCAAGAGCAGGAGTACAGGACGTCAGCATGGGTACCCTCTGAGTTTGATTTAGCAAGTCTTCGCTAGACTCACTAAATCAAACTCCGGAAGATCAACCGCTGGAGTGGCGATCTTCTGTGGAGTGAAAATGTGGCCTAAGTTAACCGAACTTTTCTGAACCTTGGAGTTTTTGACTCTGATTCTGGTGGCAGTGTGGAGCTAGGCTGGTCTAATAGCTGAACACTAACCTGTGAGTTTTGGAGACCTGCAGTTCTAGTCCTGGTTGTGAGCCGACTGCTGCATGGGAAGTCATTGGATCCCCGCAGCTCCTCTTGTAAAGAGGATTCCAAAGTAGATCTCCCTCATCAGGAAGCTGATAAAACATGATTTTTTGTTTTGCTTTCAGGCCTCCTTCAAAATGGTCAGCTTCTACCCTGCACGAGCTCCGTGGACTGTTCCACATATTTGATCGGAGTATCTTGCAAAAGATCCCTCAGGTTTGTTACAAATGGGGCATCTTGCAGCTTCCTGGAGTGTCCAAAGTGCATAAGGCCTGATTTTGCTACCAGTGAAATTGATGGAAAACTCCCGTTTATGTTACCCGTGCAAAAGCAAGCCCCTGTTGCAAATAGCTTTAGTCAGTGTGGCTAAGTACGGGCAAGGCTTGGCTTTATAGCACTGTGTGGGTGCATCTAGACTGGCAAAAACTTGCCAGCTGTCTACACTGGCCGCTTGAATTTGTGCAAGAACACTGACTTTGTAATGTACAAAATCAGTGCTTCTTGCACAAATACTTTCACGCTCAAGGAACATAAGTATTAGTGTATGGCTACATCTAGACTGGCATGATTTTCCGCAAATGCTTTTAACAGAAAAGTTTTTCCGTTAAAAGCATTTGCGAAAAAGAGCGTCTGGATTGGCATGGATGCTTTTGCGCAAAAGCACTTTTTCCGCAAAAGCATCCTTGCCAATCTAGATGCTCTTTGGCGGAAATACTTTTAACGGGAAAATGTTTCCGTTAAAAGTATTTCCGCAAAATCATGCCAGTCTAGACGCAGTCTGTGTGTATGTGAAGTGATGTGATTGCTGCATTAAGCACCCAGTTTCCTGTGAAACTTGGAATAACAGCAATCTAGATCATTATCACTCTCTACAGATTGAACCTCTCTAGTCCAGAACTCTCCGGTCCAGGAACATCCATGGTCCGGCATGATTTCAGTGAGCTGCATGTCCACTTAGCTTGGGTGCGGCCAAGTTTCCCGCAGTCCCATAAAGTTTGTTTCCAGCCACCAGTCCTGGCTCTCAGTGTTCTGGGCTGTTCTTTAGCTCCGATTTACCCCTAAACGTCTTTTAAGAGCCCAGCAAGCAGGGGAAGTGTTGGTCTTGCTGCTAGACAATATTGACTTCCCATGGTCTGGCAAATTCTCTGATTCAGAATTGGTCAGGTCCCGAGGGTGAACTAGAGAGGTTCAACCTGTAGATTGCAGTAATGCTATTGGTGGCCATTGGTAAAAGTTATGCCATCTTATTGGAAAGCACTGGGCTTGTTTAGTTTGGAACGGAGAAGACTGAGAGGGGACATGAGAGCGGTTTTCAAGTATCTAAAAGGATGTGACAAGGAGGAGGGAGAAAAATTATTCTCCTTGGCCTCTGAGGCCAGGACAAGAAGCAATGGGCTTAAACTGCAGCAAGAGAGGTTTAGGTTGGACATTAGGAAAAACGTCCTACCTGTCAGGGTGGTTAAACACTGGAATAAATTACCTAGGGAGGTTGTAGAATCTCCATCTTTGGAGATATTTAAGAACAGGTTAGACAGAAATCTATCAAGGATGATCTAGACCAGTGTTACAAGCACCCTTAGAGGTACACAAGGGAAGTCGGGAGTACGTCATCACAACTGAAATTTGGAGAAAACTGAATTTTTGTTTTAAGTTTTACAGCATTTTATTATTTTTGTACTTTTTACACCCAAAAATTTAATCGCCTCCCTGGCTACGACTAAGTTGTTTAAACAAATGCGTTACAATGGTAGAAAAAAAATGGTGTGTCTGAAAATTGCAGGTACTGGGGGTACTTACAATTTTTTTTTTGAAAAAGGGGTACTTTATTTAAAAAAAAAGGTTCAGAAACATTGCTTTAGATGGTACTTGGTCCTGCCATGAGGGTAAGAGACTTGACTCGATGACCTCTCGAGGTCCCTTCCAGTTCTAGTGTGCTGTGATTCTATGATTTAAAGCAGTGTTTCGTAAACTGTGTTTCTTAAAGTGTGTGCAAGGAGGCAGTTGGAGGTGTGTCGTGGAAGGTGGAAGGCCCTTAAACGGGCAGGCGACGGTTTTTGGTTTTTTTGTTTTTTGCTCAACAAAAAATCCTCATAAAAAGAATTATTGTTGGTGTTGCTCAGTCTTAAAAAGTTTAAGAAACACTGGTTTAAAGTCACGTTGCCTTTGCGAGTAGCTTGTGTGCCCACCACTGCCCCCTAGAGAATGGAACGTACCACACTTGCTTGAGCCTTCGAAAGTCTCCCATTTCTTCGGGCCTGGTGCCATGGAGCGATTTCCTTGGCTCCCCAAAGGCTGGTCACTAGCCTGGAGCGGGAAGTGGTACGTGCTAGTCTCCATAATACTCCCAGGCGTTTTGCTGAGTGTCAAGGTCCCTGGCTATGTAAGCGGGTAGAGAAACACCCCGGTGCCGCCTGCCTCGCCTTCATGCCGATTGATTTTCTTTGCAGGCCGTGTTAACCCCTTGGCTGAAAAGCTTTGTGCATGATCTGCCTTTGCCCAGGGAGCAGCTGGCTGCCATGGTTCAAAACCTCCTGCCCTCCAGGAGGAAGCGCGCTGCTGGTACGTGGGGCGTGTCCTAGTCCCTGTGCCTGGTGATGGGACTCGGGGGGGGG